GTGTGGAATATTGTTTGCATTTATATGCAACCGTGTGTGGTACGTTCGCGCGTATGCAAACTGCAAACACACGTTCACTTGTGTCGCGTCGTATCGTTGGATGCCTTAAAAAGCGTCACTTTTGCACTTGCTGAAACGACGTTCTTTGCGAATCCTGTTTAGAACGAGCGAGAGGGAAACATTTAACGCGAGCAAATGGCTCGTTATTAATAATAACTGCCGGCACGACAAGCACGAAAGACAGCGATTAAGCGTTCTAATCGGTCGACGACAGGAAAGGTAAAAGTAGCCCCTCTGAATTTTCTACCGTGCGAAACTTTTCGTTTGAAATTCCTCCTGTATTTAAATATTTTCGGATATGCGTTCTTCAACGTCTTCGAGATTCAATATTTAACATTAAGATAACCGAATCCGTTAATATTTCGCAATTATTTAAAGGACACAGGTATTTTTGTCAAAATTAATATTGATTAGAAACATAGCCGCTTATGTCTATATAATTTACACGTAGAATATTTTGGTACCTATTAAAGACCGGTTGTTCTAGTACAACACGAGTGTATACTTACTGTTAAAATATTTGTCACGCACGGATGCGTGAATGTTTACCTAAAGTGTGCTACGCGTTTAGATGAAATAGCAAAACGATGGAATTAACCATCATTATCTAGAAACCATCTTATATTTTTTGTATAGAATCACCTGTTCCAATTCTACTTAACAAAAGAGAACATTTGATATGGTGTCGGGTTTTCACGCTCTATTATAGAGGGTGCGTATAAATTGCCATTTCCAATTATTACTAATACGAATGTTGCAGTTGATTGTTCAAAAATAAAAAAAAATAGAAAATAAAAATGAAAAAAAAGGAGGAAAATAGAACGAAGAATCAACGCATCGATTCGCGATAGCCATACAGGCTATACGAAAGAAAAAAAATTCCGAAATTCAGCATCGAAGGTGTTTGTATGAAAAAATTCTAGTCGATGAAAAAAAAAAATATGACACTCATCCGCAATACAGCTTATATTTCAACTTCGCCTACGATAAAACGCTGCTTCTTTTGAATTTTATCACTTTCTTCGATACTTCATTAATACTTACTATAGTGTTACAGCGCCTGTAGCACTGTACGCTGATTTACAGCAGCGTCGAATGGACTGGTATTTATAGGCTCTTCGGTCAGTGAAATTACACGTCTCCTTGGTGCTTTTATTCAATTTCACTTGTCCCGCAAAAACTCCGAATGACGCAAATGTTTGAACGTCAGAAATGGTGCACATTCATTAGTAATGAAATCGCTGTTGTATTCGCATACAATACAATGGTTATTAATTTAATTTAATTTCTATTAATATTCGGTAAAGGACAGTTTAATGAATTTCAGCGTTTCTGTTTCGCAATCGCGTCACATTGAGCCGCTCATAAATCAGTGGAACGACAGTTATTAGGTAGAGTTGCCTGAAAATAAAATTAGTCCCATTTCCACTTAACGTAATTTTAACGACATTTCACATCCGACGGTTCCATTCGATTGTGTATTTGCATATTTCATTTCAAATGTGTCATACTTTTCGAAAGTTTCACGTTTTAATGAAATGGCTCGCGAAATGGCATCCGTTAATACCTCGATCGCAAAATATTCCTGAAAATTCCATTTCTTTCTCTTCAACATAACGCACACGGTCGAGTAAGATATTTCTTACAATAAGCCGGAAAGGTTTAAGATATTTCTTACAATAATAACGGAAATATTCATTTTCAAATATGAAAAATTCGAATTCCTTCAGTAATCGAGCAAACAGTTTCAAGAAATATTTCAACCTCTTTATTTGCTCTGAATTTGGATTTACGAAGAGGTCATAACACACAGCAGGCCGCAATAACGAGAACCATTTCGGGCTCTGCTACGCCTTTCTTTTTTCCTTGAACGTAACCATAAATCTCGATCAGACGATTTGAAGCACCTGCTTGGATCGGGTTTTGAAAGACGGCGGTGCGTGCTACTCGTAAATTCCAATTAGAATTTGCAGTTTATAGAGTGGCCTCAACGAACACAAGCACGTTTCGCGAATTCTACTGAGAAACACGCAGGGATCTCGTTTTTAACGCGATAATAAACAGACAAGTTTTATTTATCTGCGAAATACTGTCAAGTGCAGCGCTTCCATTGTGCGGGATAACTTTTTTTTTTTTCTTATTCGATAAAAATTATTTGAAAAGCTTAACTCTTTGCCTCTCGAGTCTAGGCAAAAATATTTTTATACAGGGTGATTCACGTTTTAACTTGCACACTTGAAATGACTTTTAAATTATGCGTTTAATGAAAAATTGTTTAATACAAAAGTTGTATGGTTTTAAGGGAGGCAAAAGTATCAATTTCTTTCGTGAGTTTCGAAAGTAAAAAAGTGTTAAGCCCGTACAGGTTGTATAATACTTCACGCGTTATTATTTATCACAAAACATAATTTCGATTAATGAGAGATCTACGATGAAAAGAAAGGTCAAGTGCTGGATCGTTATTTGTTATTATATCTCGTTAGAATTATTTTTGGCGTTTGGAAAGGTCGCGCAGAACGAAACTGTCAAGAAAGCAATTTCCAAAGCGCAATTATTATTCAAAATGGAGGGCGACATTGTTTCCGTATATTTTAATCGTGTTATCCTCGAGGTTTATCCTCGCCGTCAAAGACGTCCTCCTTCATCGACCATGTACATTATAATGCAAATATAAATCGTCCGCGTAAAGCGGTTGATTCGGCTACCCATCCCCTGTGATTCTTGCTTGTTCCAATCTATACCTGATGTGTCAATATTGAAAATGGAACGGGTCTGCAAATACCTCGCGAGAGAAATTCGAAAGGGGAAGATAGGGATGATCTTTTGAAAAGTAGAATTATTGAAACAGCGTTGGATCTTTCTATTCGTCGTTGCCTTATTCAGAATTCACATGTTTAATTTATACGGGGATGTATAGAATACGTTCGTTGTCAAACAAACAAATCGAATTTCGTTTAACGTTATTCCCACAATACAATAATTCTCCTTCAAACGTGAATTTCATAAATATTTGACAAAAAAAAAAAAAAAAGTGAAAGAATTGGTCCTTATGAAACATTGCGTGAAAAGATCTGGAGGGGGATATTTTGCAATACTCTTTCGTGTATAAATTCTGCTTTATAGAATGTGTCTCGTCAAATAATTGACACTAGCTGTAACGAAAGAATGAACCAACGCTGCGGTATTTCCAGGGGCCACAGAAAGTTAAATACCCATTCAATTTTTGCGCACTATGAATGTTAAAATTTAGCGTTTCGATTAAACCTGAAACTCAATTTCGATTTAATTGGCCTGTTAAATAAGCGCGTTGCTTCAAATTTCATGGTACGGCAGTAAAAATTCTAGAACAACACGCCCACAGTTACGTCAAATGAAATATGGCGTACATATTGAAGTTTAATTATATCCTCGATGAATGCATAATAGTGATTTCATAATTCATGCGCGGAATATTTTTCTTTCATTTAGAGCGGTTTACGGCAATTCCCGTTAATCGAATTTTCACAAAAAAAAAAAAAAAAGAAAGATTGTTTCCAACTTATATCGCGTGTTTCGTCGACACGTTATTTTCATAGTTAAGCGAACTGTTTCGTTAAAATGGCTGAACGTAAAAAAGTTTCATCGATATCTGACGTCATAGGCTCATTATATTATTAAACTACATCGGAGTTAGTTTTTTGACGTTGAAAAGGAAGCAAACGGACTTTCTCATTGCTTTCCTTAAACTGAACACCGACAATAGGAATCAATTATAGTATCTGGCGAAGGTCCTTCGTTTTGAAAAAAAGAAAAAAAAGAAAACTGGCAATAATTTTTAACGGTACACGCTACGTGTACACAGCTCATGAACTAATTAACCAATCGATAGTTTTTATTGAATGGAATGTTCAGGGAAGTTTTCAAATGGGAATAAAAAAAGATTCATAGCTCTTTGTGCTCAATGGAAAATCGTTTCAACTGAAAGGACAAAAAGGAACGTTTACAGAGACGATACAGTGCGGAAACAATGCCGTAAGTTTTTAACAGTGAGGTAGAGAAAGAAAAAAAGCACACACACATTTTCGGTCCTATTTGCCAAGACTTTTTCCACTAGTTCTGCTTCAAAGAGGAATAAAAGCATGGCGGATGTCGGTGTCAGTAGTAAATTCCTTTCCTGATCCGACACAGGCTCGCAGAGGAGAATTCGCAGGCCGATAATTACGATCCATTGCCTTTCCAGAGAGTAAATACTGTAGAAGGACTGGCGGCTTAAGAATCGCTTTTTATTGAAAATTATTTCCTGCGTTTAATACCTACTCGTTATTGCAGTTCACTTGATTATTTCGAATGTTTCGACAACTGTCTGCAACTATCACGTCGTCGAATCGTTAATTCTAGAATAAACAATTGGGGGGAAATTTGTTTTCCTTCCCTTCTTTTTCGCATAATATAAATTTCGACGACAAAATTTAAAAACCCGACTCTTTCGTAACAATAAAGAAAAATAATTGGAAAATTCTTTATATGCGAATATGAATGCAGCGTTTCAACAAAAACTTGAAACTTTTAATGACGAATTTCATACATTTGCATATCAAGTGATATTTGCATACCATTTTTCTCTGTTCTTCTGAAAAATGACACAAAAAGGATTCGAAGAACTTTGGTTCTCAGGTGCACAGTTAACGCGACGTTCTAAAAAGAAATCCTTTGGGATCCCTTAAGTAAATTCCGAGACACTTGGCAACGGAATCCATTATCTTCTGATTAGAGTAGATCAATGCATTGTTTCGGTTGTTTTCCTCACGTCACGGTCTAGTCGATTTTTCGATGAATTTGGAGCTTTTTTAACAAATGGTCGCGAAAATCACGCAAACGTTCAGTACGATGTAGGTTGCATTTTCACGTTTCGGATTTTTTTCGAGCGGAATATTATGGATTTTTCTTTGTTCTAATTGCAGGATGCTGGAACGACAGGATTCCACTTGCACCGGTTAAAATGAATCGTAGGGAGGACCCGCTGTTACGGCAGCATCGCAACCGCTTGCTGCAATTAGCCGAGGTGACAAACATCAAGCCTGGCCGTGGCAGCGGGAAAAGACGTGGCCAGAGGCAGTCGCACGGTTTTGGACCCAGGTTTGCTTGCAAAAATGTTGTAATTATAGCAGCACGTAATTGCTCGTCAAACGTGCAAACGTTTAATACGCGGCTGGAAGGTTGAATCGTACAAATTAATGACTTTAATTGAAATTTTAATGACTTTAAGTAATGACAGTAAACTCTGACTTAATCATAAACGAAGCTGAAAATTGACTTCTCTAATATTGCTGCGTTATTATCGTTTCGTCTTTGTCATTTCTTGATCGAAAACATCAGAGGATAAAAGAATAAATTGTTGACAGTGACGGTTCTGGAAAGAAACGGTTTCTATGTATCGAATTTTTTTCTTTTTTCTCTCGTCTCGTTCATATATTCGTCTTCATTACAGCCTCGACTACAATAGATCGCGGGTCGGTCTGCTGTCGACATTTTTATTACCATCCGACCGTTTCCTTCCTACTTTCTCTCTCTCTCTCTCTCTCTCTCTCTCTCTCTCTCTTTGTCTCTCCCTTTTCTCGTTTTGTTTTTTTTTTTTTTAATCGTTTTTGACGTATAACGAGGAGAGGAGCGGAGAAAAGGAAATCTCGGACAAAAATATCAGGGGACAGTAAACTATCCGTGGCTTTCAGTGGGCTTGCATAATTAACCTTTTTAAGCCGACATTACGCGTGTCGACGTGCGCGACATTGCATTCATCGTGCATTTCACTGATCCGCCCCCTTCTGCCCCTTCTTTGTTTCTCCCTCTCTTTTGTTCCGTCCGCGTTGTTTCTACTCTTTCACGTTCGTGCCCGGCCTATCTCCAGCGTCCCTTGACGAAATTCCTTTCACGCGAGAAGAATCTCAACACCCCGGAGACGACGAGGCTTCTTCTTCCTCGGGCTAGAATAACCAGCCTCGTACCCTCTATAAATATTAAAATTCTACGATTCACGTATTTTACCGGGGTCGGACGAGTACCTGGGTGTTTCTTTCTCTCTCTCTCTCTCTTTCTCTCTTTTTCTCTGACTTGCAAATAGGCGAAATCTGCGCGGATACGATGGTACCGCGAGCGGGAAAATCGTAGGAAAGAGGAAACGGCTTTTTGCGAAATGTTTCAGCAATGGGGGGCCGAGCACTGGCGGCCGCGTCACTCTGCAGGATATCGTTCGAAGCGATCCTGGATACACGCCAAACATCGAGCATTTAGTTTTCCCGGAGCGCAAGAGCAGCAACCCAAATTTGGCGAAGAGCGGCGATGAATCGCCGCAGAACAAATCCAAGTCGAACGCAACTACCTCGGGCAGGTCCAGGCTCGCGGAAGTGTTCTCCAGGCATTACTCGAGAGGCTCCTCGCAGGACTCCTCCATCACATCCAGGAAGAATCATTTGAACGTAAGCGTTCCATAACTCTCTTCTTGATCGAAGCTTTTACCCACGAGAATCCCACGTTCGCAGATTTTCTTCTGAAACTAATATTACGTCTTAATTTTGTTCGCAATGTTCTCTATTCTTAATGGAAGAAGCACAAAGATATAGACATTCATACATTTATTTATATATATATATATATATTTAAATAAATAAAATTTTATATATATATAAAATTTGATGTATAAAATGACGAAGAAAAAAAAACAGAAAGATGTTTTGGACTGCATGAAAGATTTACAAAAAAATACTGTAACAGTGTTAAATGCATATATATTTTTATTTGTTTTATACTCATATACGATCCTATTTCTCCGATTGTTCCTTAGTCACGGTCTACTAACAATAAGACAAATTTCTTCACACGTTTCCGAATAGATTAACCATCTTTCAACTCATGTTTATTAGAAAGTTTGTCATATCGCTTTCTCGTTGGAGCCAATCGAACGAATTCCAAAGATACAAGAAGCCATGACAAGACGAAGTTTCGTCGTAGGAATACGATAAATTCGGTTTCATAGCGGTTCAGTTATCGACTCGACCTAGATATTCCAGTCGATTTCTATCCTGTTTCGAGCGACGCCGAGGTCATTTCAATTTTTCCAAGTTAGGTAAACAAGCGCAGTTGCCGAAAGAAATCCAACCCGCGTGCGCGCGCGCGCTCGCACGATAAATTGAGCGGCGGCAGCCTTGATTTCGTCATATTTCTTATCAACGGCGCCAATTTCGATCGGCGAGGATCGAAACGAGAGAAAGAACGCTGGCCGCGAGATTAATCGGCGAGAATCCAGCGGCGCGGCCAGTTTCGAAGCGATAGGTTCTTTGGTCCGCGTCGGCTCTTCTCGGATGGATCGTCGAGCGAGGACGGGTTTCTTCGCCGTAGCACGCACGAACGAAAATAAAAATACTTTCGTCGAAGGAGTTGCGTAGCCAGTCTCTCGCACCTGGTCCCGTATTTGGAAGTAGAAACAGCGGCGCGGCGACCCGTGTTGCGCGTAGCCGTGAGTTTGGTTCGTCTGATGTTGCGACGCACGATTCTTTTATGCAATCTCGCGCAAATACGAGACGTATGACTTTCAAGTAGACGCACATCGTCCGCGTTCAAACATACTCTTCGATTTCTTAGGCGAATTTTTACCGACACGAAAGTCCTATTCCACGTCAAAGCTTCGAAAATGGCTACTATTTGTTCCGGCTTGTAAGCGAAATGTTACTGTAGATGAAAGGTTAAGCCGCGACCTTTGAAAGCAAAGGAGGCGGTAAAGCGAGGAAAGTATTTTACGTAAAACGCGTGTAATAAAACTAAGAGTAACTGCGATTAATCCTTTTAGGTAAATGGACTGCGCCGCAGTTGCGAAATCACGCGAAGTGTTCGTCCGTTAATTTAACCTACGAAAATTTGTTAGTAGCCTCTTTTTAATAAATTAAATTCGCAAACTTGTTTTTAATAAACCAAAAGTCGCACAAAAGGAAACAGTTACGTGGATAATTTCACTGTGGATGGACGTTCTCTCTGTTAGAAGCGCCATGTTCGGTGGATAGAATCGGAAGAATGCGACAGACAGGCACGAATGCGATTAACGAGGATAAAAATGTGCAATAAACTGTCCCGATATTCCGCGAACCTTAAGAAATTCTGTAGCGATTTCCTTGAAGCCGACCGTCGAATCTCGAATTCCCCTGTCGAACAATGTGAATTCTCTATCGACCAAGAATACTAGCTTGTCGTTCATCGGAAGACGCGGGCAAAAGAAGTTGAAAAAAAGTCAAAAGGAGACGCTGAAATGACGAGACCAACCGAGAAACCTCCGAGCGACAGTCTGCGTTGTATCGAAGAAACAATTGCAAATGCTGAAAAAAGGAAAAAAGAAAGTCAAACATATCCTACTTGTTCTAACCGCGTCGAAGTCGCCGCATTAGAGAAGCATCTTTTTCCGAATGTACTCCAACGGATTTGAATAGAAAACATTATGCTACTTGTAATATTAAACGTAAACTCACTCAAACAATTATCGTTCGTGTCTCCCGAAACACGTCAAAAGTATAAAATCACAGTGGTGGAAATCAATATCAATCTTCACAATCGAAATTATTAATCCTTTAATCTTCCAAGTATAGTAAGATTTCAACTACATTTTTATTAGTAATTTTTCGATCTTCCAAGTATACTTTATCACCCAAAGTTTAAAAAAAAAAAAGAAAAAAAAAGAAAGAGAAAAGAAATATTAAAAACTTCTGCGAAACCTGGTAAGACCTTCACCTGGAATATTAAAACTCTTCCTTGCCACGGTAATCACACTTTCTTATGATATTACACCGCAATATTCCGGGCTACTGGCAAGTTGAAAGTAACCCTCCCCACCCTTCTCCCGGCAAAGTCTGCGGCACGACGAGGATCGAACGAACCTCGCTGATTTGAATTTCTGATCGCAGAGCACGTCGCTGGACAGCGGAGGGACGGTATCCCATCAGGCAACAGGATCGAGCGGAGCGACGGTGGTGACGAGAAGCGCCGGACGTCGTTGGCTGTCGCAGAGCTCGCAATCCTCCAGGCAACATTCGACCGAGGACGGGGTACGTGGGGGCAACGTGGGCGTCATAGGGCCCGTTTCGACCTCGTCCTCGAGTCAGGCCCCTGCTCCAGCCTTGCCGCCTCGTAGAGTCAGTCCAGCCGCGAATTCTGCCGACATCTCGAATACAGCCACCGGTTCCCGTAGCGACAGGTAACGCGTGTGTACTCTCCGTGCTTCTCTTCTCTTCCCTCATTTCACCCTTTCTCTCTTTTTTCTCTCTATATTTTTCCTCCCTATACTTCTCGTTATCTCTCTCTGTTCCCCTCATTTATATCGCGTACGCGGTGTTCCCTCGACGCAAAGAGGAACACTCTATTCTTCCTGTTTCTTTTTTGGTTCTCGGTTAATCGAAATGGTAGTCGAACCGAGGAGTGATGTAACTCGATTTCACCGAGCGCTGTTCAAATTCGCGATTTTCATCTCGCACGAGGATTTTTAACATTAAGTTGCTTCATGTTCGTTCATGTTGAAATGGTTGCTGCAGAAGTGTTGCCACTCTCTTTTACAATAGTGCTATGTATAGTTGCGAATTCATCAGACGATCGATCGTTTTCGTTTATATATCAGAGAGAAGAGATGTTGGGCAGAAGAATATCCAGAGGAAGTTCCATGGAATTCTCAATAATTTCAAGGGACTGATGAATATTTTAGAGTCACGATGATAGTATCTTTTGGTAATGCCGTGGGTCACTGATGGAAACAGCCACGCGGCACAGAGAGTGTTAATTTTTTTACGTGGGCCAGAGAGAGTTCATTGTCCTGTTCGTCGAGTGCTACGCTGGTCGGTGTGGCACGTCCAGACCAAAAAAGGACACGTCAAACTAGGCGAATAGTAACAGAGTGGCGAGACGGTATAATTACCGATATTCGTTTCGGCGAACGACGATAAGAAGAGTTGTTTCATCGGGAGATTAATATCAGGGGCGATGAGTATCGTCGATACGTCGATCCGGTAAAAAGGGAATTAATTCGATCATGGCCGAAGTTTTACATTTACTATCTCCCTCTCTCTCTCTCTTTCCCCCTCTCTGTCTCTCTCCTTCCCTCTCTTCTTCTGTTCACTTTTTGTAGTCTTCGACTCGGTGGTTACGCACGATGCAAGTTTCATGAAGTCCAATGAAACCGCTCGCTCTGTCCCCGGAGCTTTCCCGCGGAGTTCAACTTGTTTACACACGGGAGTGCAAAATTCAACGGGCGAACGAGGGAGCGTTCCTAGAGACCGCTCTCCGAACCCCTATATAGTTAATTGGTTGTCATTTTTACGGGAATTTAATGGGATCGCGGGAAAAGCAAGTCTGCTCGTTCTCTCGTCACGTTCTGTTTCTCGTTTCTTAAATATATCCGTCTGTTTTTCACGACTCTATTTCTTCTTTAAAGAAAAATTGTCAATGTGCAACATTGTGACATAGGAATGTGTAGTTGCGTGAAAATTTTGCCAATTCGCCAGCGTAAATGTTGATGTGATCGGAATGAAATGACGGTGGATCCATCTCTTCGACCATCTTAATTTGTCGCGCGAGTGTGGTGCTAATCCAAGTGTCAGACCCAAAGATCCCGGAAAGACCGGACGGATAATGTCAGTTAAAAGGTAAATATAATTAATTCAGGATATTCGTATTCGTATTCTTCGATAAGGTCACACGGAAATAACGTCATACTTAGTTAGTCCACGTGACATAACCAGATATATCTCGTGTCTGGCTACAAATATGTAGTCGAGCAGTTGTCGACGAGAATAAATCCCTTTATGCGTTAAATTTAATAATCTGTTTTAATAAGCTGGGCAACGTCAGTTTATACATAAGATCATCGTCCGAACATTCTTATAAATCCTACGTTCCGCAATTTCGCTGACAGATTCATACGCGACCAATTCCACGCGTCGCGTCGTCCAATGGGGAAACGAATCGAGTCATTTGCAAGATTAGGATGCCATTTGTTCTGGCGCTTTAACCACTCGAGCTGCGAGCCGAAGTTTCCCAACGATTCCATTTCCGTATCTGCTGCTTCTTTCATGAATCATTACGGCGGAAGATTATTCTTGTCAACGAGAATAAAATAGATACCCCCGGTTGCCGTCTTTCCTCGCGTTGCCGCCTGCATTTACCGAGACTCATTAATGATAAACGGTTGAAACATTTGCGAATTACCCAAGTGCCGGCCGGACCGCGCCATCGCGCTGATATCGCGAGGTTCATTTGCCAGTCAGAGATAACGGGGGTTCCGTTTCGAAAATTTTATTTCGACGACCTACATATGTACATACTTGGAGGCTGGCTCGCGAAGTTTAAATTCCCCCCCGGCTCGCGTTTCAACGAAACGTTTCGAAACGTTTCCGCGGCACCGATTGTTCGCGTTACACCGAAACATTGCCCCGCCGTGGAAAATTGATGTCCTCATATATGCGAAAGTATCCTTGTTAATCTAGTTGGGAACGCGAATTTCCATTACCCTATTTCAGAGCCGAACCGTATAGATATCGTTACGACCCCCGGGGCCAATGGTATTAAAAAGTTGTTCGATCGTTTGTTTTTGCCAACGATCGGAACGCCGCCAGACGTCGAAAATATATTATTATTTTTGTTCTCTAATCACGTTCCTTCCACGCGACGCGCAAAGAAAACACGAAAGAAACCCTCGGAATACGTTTAATCACGGTTAAACTGGAAACGCGTTTTCCATGTCTCGCAGTTTATTTTCGTGAGGGACGCGAAACGTCGACGAATCCGTTTCACCGCGGCTCGTACGTTACCAGCTTCAGCCATATATAGATTCCGCGGCGCAGTATCGCGGTGCTTTCGTATCAGCGAGGGAGTAAGAAAGAGCTCCGTCTCTGCAGCCATACCGAAGCGAGACGGATGCAACGCCCTCGTTTCCTTTCGCTCCTTCTCCCTCGCGAGATTTTTATTCTTCTCCTCTATCTCTAGCGATATCTATATCTCGCTAGCCGCGCATCGTTGTCCCGATGAATATTTATACGATATTCTGGGCGGAAGGGAGGAAATGCACCAAAGTCAGGTTGCGACGGTGCAACAACCTCCTGAAATCGAGTTCCGCCAATACGAACTTTAAATATACATACGTACGTACGTATTATATACGGGTCTATTTGCAAGGGTAGTTTCCTCGAGAGTCAACTCGACATATTCTCCTGTATATTAAATGTATCGTGGCTCGTGCCCCTACGCTTCGTACCAATTTTCCACCCAAAGTGTACCTTTCTCACGGATCGGATGAGACACAATACGACAACGAGCCTACCTGTCTAAGAAAAGTGTCGCTTTAACACTTGGACCGTATTTCGTTTTACAGGGGGCAAAACGTGTCGATTCTGCATTTACGCAGCACGTCGGATCCTTGGGAGGTTGGCTCACAAGGTTCTTCGTACAGCGTCGGTAGCAATAAAAGTCAAAGCGGCGGCAAAGGAAAATCAAGTGGAAATGCACGAGGCTCGTACACACGTGGCACCTCGATACCGTCGTTGAAACGCCACGATACAACGGCATCGACGTCGTCGACGTCCAGCTTGAAGCAGCATCGACAGGACAGCCACGGACAGGCAAGTAAACCGTTCGTCGAAGAATAAAGATCGTTTTATCGTGCCGTATTTCTCTCGGGAATCACGTACAATACGTAGCCCGATATAGTATCTCCGCTAAACTCTCCGCTTCTCAAATGCTGTACAATTTCCCGCTCGAAAGTTTTGCAATTTTTCTCGCGCCGATTGTTTCATTCAAATATCAAAACTCTCTCCGTGTTGAGCGCGCTTTTTTCCGAACAATTCCGAACTTCGATCAACGTTTTTAACCATCTGAAAGATAGACTCTAAAACAGAGAGAAAGTGAGTGGAAAGAAATTTGATGTTCCATTAGAGCTTGTCAGAAATGTTTCGGCGCGTTGTCAAAAGGAGGAGGGGAGGTTACTCGAAGCCCTCTATTTCTATCGATGAATTTACGGACAGGTGACGAGCACTCGTCGACGAGAATCCTCGAATTCGTTCCTGTCGGGTAACAGCGGCACATCCGGCGAGCTTTTCATCAGCGGCGACTGTAGCAGAGAATTGTCGCCGGTCCGATGGTGCGACAGGGAGGTGGACGGTGTCTACCTGGGTCGATCGGGTTGGGTTCAGGTACAACAAAGATCCCTGGACGAGAACCGACGGATAAACTACGAGAGTAGCTTGGTAACGGCGACCACCGGCACTCTGCCATTGCCGAGACGGGCCATAGTGAAATTGGCTGACTATCACTGCAACAGCGAACCAGGGAAATGTCCCGAAGAGTTTCTACGATTGGACAACCAGAGACCGGACTATCTGGCTCTGCACGGTCAGGACTTCGAGTCCGTAGCGAGCAGCACTTGCACGTCTCCGCACAGTATCCCCGAGTCTTACTCTCCGCCGTCGATCACGCCGATAATCTCGCCTCCGCCTGCTTTCCAAGACGTGGTCGGCAAGAAGACCTCCTCGAAACATTCGTCCGGGCGTAACAATTACGGAAAGCCGCCGTTCTTGCCACGGTCCAACGCCATAGTGGACAGTGACATTATCAGTCCTCCGCCTTCGCCTCCGCACCAAATAAACTGGAGTTCCTTGCCAGCTTCTTCTCGGAAGTCGTCGAGCACGCCGTCCAGACCTCGAAGGCAGACTAGCAGTCAGCAGCAACAGCAGCAACAGCAGCAGCAGCAGCAGCAACAACAACAGCAGCAGCAGCAGCAGCAGCAACAGCAACAACAACAGCAGTATCGAATAGCGCAAGCCAAGTCATTGGAAGATCAGTCGTCTTCGAGAAGATCGCAGTTCGTCCAACGTTACCTAGAGTCGTCGAGCTCGTCCTCGTCGTCGGTGGGTTTCAGAAGTCTGGACAGTTGCGTGACGAGGGCGACGATGCCGAGGCTAGCCGAGAACACGGATTCTTCGATAGAGGGATACGACGATGGTGACGACGAGGACGACAATCCTAGCTCCTCTTTGAATCTAAGCCTGGTCTCTTCCTCGATAATAGCGCTGAATTCGTCCACGGAGTCTATACGCGCCAACGGAGAAAGAATTTCGCCAAACAGACAGAGCCGTCATCACAGAAGTCAACAGGGATTAAGAAGATCGCCCGGGTCCTCGGAGTCCGGCAAGTTGTCGTTCAATTCGCCCTCTTCCTCTTCCTCGTCGTCGAGCAGCGCGGACAGACAAGGCAGATCTCCGATACCGAATGCTTTCAGGCGTAGCAACGCCTCTAGACAACATCAGAGCGCCAGGACGACGCAAGCGTCCCCAGATTCCCATCAGTCACGAGTACGAAGATCCAGGAGCCTTCAATTACCCGAGAAGAGGTCTCCCAGCGCCGCTGCACCGAGCAGGGAACACTCCAGGGAATCTAACGAGCCGCACAGAATCGTCGTAAAAATTTCCAGCGATCGAGGCAACGAGAGGAAACGTCACGTTCTCCAAAATAGTACGTATATCTTCCTTCGTTACTTACGCCAGTTCTTGTTCTCTCTCTCTGCGTTTCGCACACTATCCTGATTCCGTTACGGTTTCGTTGTTCAAACATCTTGTAGGCATTAACTTTACTCGGACGTAGCGAGAGAGTTTACTCTCGCACGCTCGAAACTCCATTACATTCTCGCGCTCCGTCTGTTTATTTACTGTGGCATACCATTCGTGCATGTTTCGTAGGAAAAGCGCAGTCAACCGAGAACGCGTTAAACGAGGAGCTTCTGCGTGAGACCGAGGCGGTAACCGAGTTCCTTTACGGCACGAGGAGCCGCGCAGTGGCTAGAAGTCTTCTCTCGTGTCGCTTCGAGCGTCGCGATGACAGCCAAGAGCAAAGACAAAGGAACAATCCCAACACCTACGACGTTTACTTCATCTCGTCTAAGCAGCAACAATCCGCGAAAACAACAGGCACGTCTATGCAGCAACAGCCGCAGCAGCAGCCGCAACAGTCGCAGCAGCAGCAACAACAGCAGCAGCAACAGCAGCAACAACAACAGCAACAGCAACAACAGTCCAGACGACCAAAGACGCTTCAAAGAGGCGCAACGACCCCGAACGCGAATCCCTCGTCGTCGAATCACGACTTTTGCGTCAGTCCCGACACGAAGCTACGCTGCAACAGCAGTACGTGCGACTTTTGGCCGCACTGCTCGCAAAGAGACACTTTGTACTCGCCTAACCAGGCGCCAGTGTTTATGAAGCTATCTCAGAGCTATCCGGCTCATCAGAGGCTCCCCACGGACGTGAGCGGCCATGCGAGCAGAGGAAGCGCCAGCTCGTCTCCAGCGTCGTTGGAACGGATGGACGACCGGGAGTTCCGTGATCGCGAGGCCTCCCGAAAGAGTCGAGCCAGCCGCGATCAGAGCAACAGCAACGCGTCCAAGTATCAGGAAAGACAGCCGAAAAGCGTGTTGAAGCAGACGAATCGATGGTCGCCGCTTGAGGGGTCGAACGGGAACGGTTCGAGCGTAGAGAAGAGGGAGTATCACCGATACTATCAGAAAGCTGAATTCACCGGTAGCTTCGAGGGTTGTGAAAATAAAGATAGGAAAGTGTCGCCGGTCCAAGGGAAGGGTATCGTGAACAGATCGCCGAGCGGTCAAGTCGCGTCCTCGTCGACTACGTCGTCGTCCTCTAGCAGTGACATTTGGGTCACCACGTCCGACCGGACGGTGACGAAAAGTCCGAGGAACGCAAAAAGCTCCGGTGCGTCCACTCCTATGGAGGATGCGGTGATTGGTTCGCTGAAGACGCTGATGGAACCGCCGAAAGATGGAATGCTGTCCAGGCCTGGAAGCGCCCCGACGAGAGGGGAGGATTCTCTCACGGGGAACGTCTCCTTGGATCCTCACCAACGGTCTCTCTCCTTGCCAAAGTCCTTTCTCACGCACAACGGGTAAGTTTTACTCAATGACGCTTTGACTAATTTAGACGGTTGTACAGAGATACGAAGTGTATCCTCGACGCGACGAGAATCGTATCTGTTGTTAGAATGCAAAGAAAATAAACGAAAGCACCGGCTTAATTTCCGGTTTACTCTACCGGATTTCTCGGTCGTTTAGAAGTTCAACTACTCTTTTAATTGGCTTTCGTTTAAATTCTATCTGGTATCGCATTACGTGTGCTTTGAATGCATAAATCTCTGGACGGTTGTGTGCAAGTTTTAAGAATTATTCCATTTCACTTGTAATCTTGTTTCATATACATTCCGCTGGTCGATCGATAAGGTACGTACTCGGCGACCGTGCTGGAAAACCAGATTTAATGAAAAGAATTCCACTTGTCCCCGTGTATACGTATACAGAATAAACACGGTCCTTCTTTTTTTTTTTTCCTTTCTTTTTATCCAAGATTGCACGAGCATGTGCATACTGCCTCCCACAACTTTCACGATATGCAAAACATCTGCAATAATTCGTCCGAGCAATTTGTTAGTATTAAAGTTAGTTAGCGTAATCAGATTTTCTAGAAGTTCAGTTACTTCGTTCCCAGTTACATTAGCCATCGTTGTTGAAAGTGACGACGTGACTGTAGATCGTGACCTAAACTTACTAACGGTGCAATCGCATACACGTCACTTGCAGTAGATAGTCCGCTTCGATCCTCCCCGATAGATAGTCTATCATCCAGGCAAATCCACCAGGTGTGTGTTTGTTGTCAATTTCTCTAAATATTTCAATCAACCCATCGAACGCACGTTTGCCATAAGAGCGATAAATGAACAGAATACGATGACTCGATCGTCAGAACGTTCGCTTTACCTCGTCGTGCCACAATGTCCGCAACATTTATCGCGAAACGCGTCATAAAAATGTCGTAAATTTTAATCAGAAACTCCTTCGTTTATCGGGGACACGTGTCCCGCAATGAAATTAAAATTAACGATCGGGATTATAAAACGATTTAACCACGGAAGAATAACCGCACCGCGATATAACGATATTAGAATATCGACGCGATGTAACAACGCGGATATTGATGCGCTAATGCATATATGTATGTATGTACATCCGCATAACTATTTAACGATATAACAATGTCAGAGGACTGATGTAATTTAACGTGATCCAGGTCACATCCATGCCGCGTAATTACATTTATAATTTACAACGGCAATAAACTGAATCGCAATAAACTGGCGTGCCCTATCTTTTCGGCAAAATTAAAAATGGCCGCCAAGTTTACGGCGCTAACGTTCGTCGTTAAAAAAAAATACGTCGCGGCACTGAAACGACGTCGTACCGCGACCATTCGGACGATCGTATACCGATCTGTCGAGCGATTTATAGATCGACAAAGACGTGACGTTTGTCACGTGTTTTCGGGTAAACGCTTGGCCGATTTACGGCATGGAGAAGACACGGAAACACGATGACCGCGCACGTACGCGTCAAGTGTAATGCGACGTAATGTAAGGCACGTTCGTCGAACCGGTTGCGAAACTCGCGTCGAATCGCCCACGCGTTAACCTACGCACAGTCCGCGAGTGCATCCGAACTCGACGCACAAAGAGACGTGAAAATGATGGTCGCGCGCGCTCGATTCCAGTTTATACTCCGAACACGGCGAGAAACACAGAGAACTGATAACGAACACGTTGGCCGCTTCGAAATCAGATTCTAGCTTGCCTGCAACAGCCGATGGGTTAACGAAATGCTGTAAAATCGCGCGAAGCAACGCTCGATCTCTCAAAGCGCGTTCGAACGTTTGAATTGGAGCGCAGGCGTGTGTATCAAATTGATTGGAGAGCGATAATCAGCACGACCGGGGAAACGAATCGTCTAGCGAAATAAACGAAGCCGAGGCGTACAGAAAACGAAAAGTCAGCCTTTCGGTTTTCGATTCGTTGCGTGGAAAAGTTCGTAATCTTGAAGTCAGCGAGTGTACTTGCTATACATACAACGGACCGAAGCTAGTCAGATATAACGTAGAGTGCAACGCGGATTGAAGCGAATTTCGGAATAGCGTGGCCTCTGAGCGTGGGTCGCGTGTTTCCCGAATTTAAAATGGGACATTACGGAACGAGTTCCCTCGCAAACAGTTAATCCTATGAGAGGAAGAGCTTCCGTGAAGTTTCGTTCCTTGTACGTTCCCGTATTCTCCTGTATATTCTTTTAAGTCGTGCAAGTTTCCGGGACGATCTCGCCCTCTTGTGTATTCACGTATCTCGCGGTGGCTGTCGTGGAGAAATGCTTGAGCAAACTTACAAAGGTTCGTACCGCGATATTTCGTGGAAAGGTATTGAGATACGAGAAATAAGAGGAAGGATAATACCGTGAGTTATGGACGAGATCGATTTTATTTTAAAATATAATGTAAATCTCGATACGTTGAACGCTTTTTACGTTTTCAAGTCCCTTCGACGAATTTAAAGCCTCTTGTAAAAAANNNNAAAAAAAAAAAAAAAAAAAAGAAAGAAAGAAAGAAAGAAAGAATTTGACAAGTCTAGTTTTTCAATGCACGCCTCCGCGTACTTTCTTTTTAATCTTTGCGCCATTGAAATTGTAGATAACGATACTTTGTTACTTTTGTTTCGTACGATCGTCGCTCTCCTTTGTATCTCCATTTTTCACCGCCGCGTGAATAGATCGCACATTTTTCCTTTATTGAATTATTCGCCTGTTTTGCGAAACACGACCGCGAGTTCGTTCGTTTGCTCTTTTTTTTTTCGAACTCGCTGCTAAAAGATAACACTCACTCGTAGTTTAAAAGAAAAAGGGAAAAAAAGGAAACGGAAAGAAGAAAAAAAAGCAGAATCGCGTATCGACTTATTGTGTCATTTAATTTTATATTTCGCATATATTCGCGGTAGCTGCAACAGCTTTGAATCATTAGTCTTTGGAAATGGCATTTCGTAAATATCAGACGGCGTTCCCTCTCATTGTCAGTTGTGCTCATGCTGCTTTCGTACGAGTACGCAAATACTAATGCTCTCCGCGGTATAAAAACTAATCCGCAGAATATATTTCTTTGAAGCTCTTGCGTATAATTCTTTGATATACTTAATATGACTCTAAAGGATCCTTTTTTCTTTTTTAACAGCAACTGTGCAAATGTTCAATTTGATATTAATACGACTCTAATGGTAAAAGTTCGGTTATTTTTGTCCCGCGAGACTCTTTCGCTGCACGGTTTTCGTAGAAATTTCCGATGGCAATTCACGTTCTTTTCCACTTATTGATAGAACACGATAAACGTGTCATCGAGAGAGCACTTGGAGTTTGACTTTAGATTTGATACGTAACATTATACCAATTACGTACGTATTCCCATGCAAATGATATTAATCTTCAAAGGATCGGAATTTACGCGACAGGTGGCTATTTGATTCTCAAACCTATCGGAAATTCATAGAAACCTAGGAAGCCTATGAATTCCGATTGGATGCAGGAATTACTATTCATTTGACGAGTTCTTGATCAAATTGACAAAGTAATTAGTCGTTTTGGCCATCATACGGCAATTAGCCCTTCCTTTATAAATTACCTTGCTTATCAAGTTTAATTATCGTTGATAAAGATTCTTCTTTATATTCAAATGGAAACGTAGGTCTCGATACAACTTCGTTATTTGGAACTACAACCTAATAATTATTTCATACATTTTCATGCAAGAATCAAGTAGCCTAACGCCGCTGTCCAATTTTAGTCAATCAATTTTACTAGAAGATTTTATTGAAAGGTTTTGAACACTTACATTCCTTTGAAACGCAATCATGTACTTTTTTACTACGTAACGTCGATACGAATTTGTCATTTTTTTTCTCGAAAAAAAGCTATTAACCCATTTACATCAAAGAAGCCATTAATATAAAACGTACGCTAATTTGAACGTCTCGAAAAGAAACATTCGGTACAGCCAATGGCCAATACCCATTTCGACAAATATAATGCAAGTATTACGCGAAATCCAATTTTCTCCAAACACATAACGACCAGGGTAATTACCAGCTACTGAAAGAGACGATGTTCCTTTGAAATAAAACGTGGCACGATTTTCCTCGAAATCGGTTGACAAGCGCATAATCGGTTACGTGTCTGACGAGCGGCGAACCGGTTTCACTGGCGCGCGAGGGACATGCGCTGGCAAGTGTCAAGTTTAAATGCACGCGCATCGATTGTGCCATTGCTTTTGAACGTATACTTTCTCTCGCTGGTGATTCCTTTGCCGTAAGCGCTACCTGGAGGTTCTGTTACGATCGACCTGCGCCGGCTACTTTATTCTGAAACTAACAGATGGCCTCGCATCCCGCTCTCTCTTTCTCTCTCTCCCTCTCTCACCTGTCCTGAGCACTACCTCAGCTCCCTCCGTGTACTGTTTTCCCTCGCCGCACTTTCCATCGTTCCCACGGCATATGATTTTCAGCAAATTGAAAAGCCGCGCGGTATCGACTCGAGCGCAAATTACTCCGGCCGATCGGTTCTACTCATCGTTTCGTGATTCTCGACAGAGTTTCATATTTCGCGCGAAACTGATACGTTGTTATTCGATGTGCAACGATAGATATTACCACTGAAATAAAGTCGGTTAAGGGATACGGACGTCGAACGATTCCATCGAACTCTCTTCGTGTTACGTACTTGGCGAATAAAGAGCCGGGTGTCGGGTAGTGAAAAAGTGCAGCGCAAGAGTGAAAATCGAGCCGACACGACGTGCCGCGTAAACGTGACCAGCAACTCTGCGACCAGCTGGCTTCTTGTCCCTGGTAAATTGGATGAAACGAACCCCTGAGATTCTTTGGCGATGGCGCGCATTAATTACAATTACTCTGTGATTACGTTAGTTGGTCTTGAAATAAGAGAGATTTTCAATGAACGAGCTCAACCGGCTGGATTACCATGGCCGGTTTATGTTAATTACTCTCGACTGTTCCGCGAATTATCACAGCTCGAATAA